TTGCCAGCACTCTTCGCCTCGCCGGCCGCACGCCACACAGGCGGAATTTCCGCGAAACCAGGCTGTGGTACTGGCTACGTCCCTGGCGGTAATAGAAGTTGATCACCTAGCTATGGTTAAATATATGGTTAAATGGTTAAATATATGATGAATATATGGCTAATACAGATGTATATATATATATTGAATAGCTGGTTAATATATCACAATCATTCTAGCAATTGTATCCATTAAACATGAACCACTGAGCCGGATCGGCCCCCGTTCGTCGTAATTTCGTGTAGGTCTATGGGATAACCCTGCGAACAAAGGGGACTTTCGTTAATGGCTGTGAACCACGTTACATGGGGTGGTGGTCCATGTAACAAAAATGCTTGCGGATTTAGTTTATCTTTATCATAATCCACAGTAAAATCTACCCACTATGTCACGAACATATGGATATATTATGAATTGCAGTGATTATATACTATACAATATTTACGTATAATGAAGATTTATATAAATATATATATATATATCAATATATATATATATATAAATCTTGGGTATACAATTTTGTGTTTTCTGTATGTATAATCAATTTGGGTCTTTTCTTAATAGAGTATACCACCAAAAAGGCAATTTAAATGTAGAATGTTAAAAAAAAACAATAAAATAAACTATTTTTTGGTGCCAATATTCAGACAAAGCCATCTAACCAATGAAATTTGCTCTTAAGCTGGACCATTGGATGGAAGAAATGAACTTCTCTGAAAATGGAAATTCAATGGCAATTTCAGGTACCTAAATTGCAGGTACCTACCATATGTAAGGCTTATGTAAGGGTTATGTAAGGGAATATCAGCACAAAATCTTGCCTTATATGGTACAGTAACTCCATTTTAGGATCCTGAAATTCCCATTGAGATGTAAGCAACAAGAGTTCGGATTTGATCAAAACTGGATCAACACTTGGTACCTTGTTAAAAATTGCACGCTTAGTCCAATCATTTCAAAATCGGATGAAACCAAGTGATATAATATATATATGTGCACATAGATAATCTGTAAATAATATAGTATACATACAAATATCATTCATATATATATATAATCATATCAATACCTATCTGTCTATACATATATATATATACACATCTAACACCCAACATGATCGAGCACTTCCAGACTGGATACACATCCAATCTTGGATGACCGTCCTCTTTTCTGTCTGCAGCGCGACACGTCATTAGCATTTTCGGACAAACTTCAAGCGCTACCACCTTCAGAATGCATCAGCATCTCTAACGACTATACATCTTATATGATATTATATATATATATATTTGTAAAGTTATGAATGGGTATGTCTCAAAATACCACATGCAGTCCGGGATGTTTGTCTAGGGGGTATGATTCGTGGGTATGATTCGCGGACCTTGTTTTAGTGTTTCCCTGCATCCCCCACGTATGTTTATTTACCCACACTTACCCCCAAAATGCTTCAAATGTTGGTAATTATACCATACGTGGAGCGCTTTGGAGCTGGCATGCTGTTGCCGCCGTGCGTGCTTGTGCGCTTTGGAGCAGGCATGGTGGTGCCGTTGAAGTGCCGCTGCAAGGTGCTGGTGCAGGGTGTGCTTGCTGTCAGAGTGGTGTGTACAGTGTGGAACGATGCTGGTGGCGCTCAGGGTGCTGCTGCAGGTTCTGCCTGAGGGGGATGTTTGAAGGTGCTGCTGTCAGAGTGGCCTGTGTGCTTTAAACCATGCTTTGGAGCGGGCATGCTGGTGAGCGGATGCCAGTGGAAGGTGCTGCTTGAGGGTGCTGTCGAGCTAGCCTGCTGGTGCTGCTGCAAGGGTGATGCTTGAGGGTGCTGCAAGGAGGGTACGTACTGTACCCAACTTGTGCTGCAAGGGTGCTAGTGAAGGGTGCTGCTGCACTCTGCAGGGTGCAGCTGTTAGAGTGGTGTGTCCGCTCTCGAGCTGGCTGGCTGGTGGTGCCGCTGCAGGGTGCTGCTTCAAGGTGCTGCAGTTAAAGTGATGTGTGCGCTTTGGAGTTGGCATGTTGGTGCCATTCGCAGGGTCAACGCGTCATCTGCGCACATTGAAAGCGAGTCATCTGCGCACATTGCAAACGAGTCATCCCCGCACAGAGAAACCGCGTCATCCGCGCACAAAGAGCGGTCATCCGCGCACATTGATGCTGGGAACCAGCCATTTCGGGTTTGGTTGGGGGGGGTGGGGGGGTCCTAAAAGGTCCCACGTTCACTTACGCCGAAATTTTTAAGGTCACTTACGCCGAAAATTACCCCCACACATTTTCGACATCACTTGCGCCGAAAAACCTCTGATTACCTGTAAATTTCCACGAAATTGCGCTTCCACGAAATGCAAAAAACGAGCCTCAGAGCAAGATAAGCCTCTCTCTTTCATGTTCCAGTGGGGTGGGGTGGGGTGGGATGATAACGTTCATGTTCCTATGCACACACAGGCACAGCAACCTCATCATCTTTCTTGCTGTTGAGAAGAGACAGGCACAGCTCTTTCATGATCAGTTCCCGGTGGGGTGGGGTGAGTTAATAAGGTTCATGTTCCTATGCCTGCACACGCACAGCAACCTGATCATCTTTCTTGCTGTAGAGCACTTACACGCACTGCTCTTTCATGATGAAATGGCAACTTCATAACCCCGCATAAAAAGGACCGGATAACCCCACATGTGACGCTGCATGAGATGAGGTGTGTGAAAGAACTTCGGTGAAGTTCAGTCAGCTCCACCAAATGCCACACGAAAGCAGCTCTTGAGTGAGTTGATTTGTGTGAGATGAGTTGTGCGATGCGAGGAGTTGTGTGAGATGAGTTGTGTGAGTCGCGAGATGAGTTGTGTGAAAGAACTTGGGTGAAGTTCAGTGCGAGAACACGAAAGCAGCTCCACCAAATGCCACACGAAAGCAGCTCTTGAGTGAGTTGAGTTGTGTGAGATGAGTTGTGAGAGATGAGTTGTGTGAGATGAGTTGTGTGACTTGTGAGATGAGAGGAGTTGTGTGAGTTGTGACATGAGCGGAGTTGTGTGAGACGAGTTCTGTGAGTTGTGAGATGAGTGGAGTTGTGTGAGTTGTGAGATGAGTGGAGTTGTGTGAGATGAGTTGTGTGAGTTGTGAGATGAGTTGTGTGAAAGAACTTGGGTGAAGTTCAGTGCGAGAACACGAAAGCAGCTCCACCAAATGCCACACGAAAGCAGCTCTTGAGTGAGTTGAGTTGTGTGAGATGAGTTGTGAGAGATGAGTTGTGTGAGATGAGTTGTGTGACTTGTGAGATGAGAGGAGTTGTGTGAGATGAAATGTGTGCATTGTGTGAGACAACTTGAGTGAAGTTGAGAGAGAAAGAAACAACTCAGGAGGAGAAGGAGGAGAAGGCAAGGAATACAAACATAAAAACAAAAGCCCCACACAGAGATGTGAGGAAAAAAGCCATAACTTGATGAGTTGCGTGATGATGTTTAAAAAAACTAGAAGAAGAATCATGTTACAGAGCTACAATGACAAAATCACACAACAAAAACGTGCACAGACGACCAACCGTCTGACGTGCACAGACGACCCACTTTTGACGTGCACAGACGACCCCCCAACCCCATTGCAGGGTGCCCCTGCAGGGTGCTGTCGTCGGATTTTTCTCAGAAGCAACAGGAGGCGTAGTGTAGGCCGTGGCGAATGGTTGTAAAGAAAAGATTTATGCTCACAAAACAAAAGTTCTGATCATGATTCGGGGTATGATTTGGAAACCCATTTTTTTTGAATTCAGGAAGCTTTGTTGCTGCAATGGCTCGACCTGCCAGACGACCTTGGACAGGACCTGAATATGAAGAATACGAAGATCTAAATGCACATCTACGATTTATATCCGCCGGCCTGCCTTTAGCTCAGCTACGCTTAGGCTAATGCTCCTCATCGACGGATTTTTGGTTTGGTTGCCAGCCAGCCAGCCACGCAGAGCCAGCCAGCTTAGGGATAATCATCGGATCTGGCCAACACTGGTCAATTAACTTGTCGGGTCCATTAAAACTAGTGAGGCCAATGCAATCCCAAACGATCCCAAAAAAAACATTCATAATCGTGATGTTTTGGGGTATGATTCGGGGGTATGATTCGGGGGTATGATTCGGGGTATGATTCGGGGGTATGATTCGCACAACTCGAACATCCTGCCTAAAATCTGCACACGTAAAAAAAATACACAGCCATATAGTTATACATAAATCTGTAAATGAATATATACTGTAATTACAAATCATAGTCATCCAGCAGGGGTTCCCTATACATCACAGTGAGGTGGAACGCGTTGAGGATCGAGACGGCCCCCGGATGAAGATGGGAAAGTACCACCAACTGGGGTGAATCTGCTAACTTATACACTTATTCCATTAAAATTTACCATATTAAACCATATTATTCCATACAATTTATGGTTATCCATTAAATATACCATAGTATACTTCGCATGAGGAACCCCCCAACTCTTCAACGAAGCTCTTCATCCGGGGCCACAGAGCTGACAGAGCTGGGATCTACCAAGGCCACCAATGGCATAATCGTTGAGATATCAAAAATAGATGTTAACCAACATGTCTATTATATATATATATACGTATAGAGAGAGATATATTATCAACTACCATGTTTTTTTAATGGGACTTGGTAGTTTGAGATCTTGCAAATCAACGAGATGTAGACGTGAACAAAAGACATTGTTCAGCAGAACATATGCCCACTGGATTGTGGGGCACCCGCGAGACAAATGTTCAAAATGAAAGAATCCCAACTGGATGAACAGTGTGTCCCTGCCTGTCTGCCAGGTTTCCACAAAATATGTTCATGTATGCATTATATATATACACACATTGTTTCACACATATGATGGTTATATAGACATATAATTTAACACCTTTGGATCCTATGATAATTTAAGATCATATCTGTAGATTATCGCTTTCCGATACTACTATAACTACTAATTATTGTCAAATCGGTCAATATCTGTGAAGATATCAGGCTGATAATCAGCTTTGCCACCGGAACTCGTCAGTGGGCCACCACATTGGTAGCGTTGCTGCTATTGGTAGCGTTGCTACTGTTGGAAGAGGCATTCCACCTTAGTAGGTGGCGCGCTACGGGAGGTCTCTCGGGCACGGAACCTTGTTTGGTCAACTTGAAACAAGGACCGCTATTGTTGGTGGAAAGTTTACAGGAAGTTGTTCTTCCCCAAAAATGGCCAAGTCTTCAGGTGGCAAGTGTACGGGACTGGGTATTCAGTCATTACATTGGATGAAGGAAGCTGATAGTGAAAGGGGCAAATGATGCACACTCAACCCGAAGTCTGTACCAAGCAACATCTGAAATTAGATGGATTGTGGGGTCGATGCCCAAACAAACCCTAACAAGCTGAGATTATTGGGTAACATACGCAGATCTTCAGGTTCTGACCCAGTTTCAGCCAATCATGGCCTCATCCAACAAGGGTTGTGAAACATGTGGGCGACACATATTTCTATCAACGAAACATGTTGTCCAAATTAGGACATCTGTCAATAGTTGGTGTATGACATCTACATAACAAGTATAAATTTATATTTAATAATATATAACATTATGTAAGTAATGTGTATGTACGTATGTAATGTAATGTAGGGTGATGCCATGTAATGTAATGCAATGTAACGTATGCAATGTAATGTAATGTAATGCAATGTAATGTAATGTAAGGTAAGGTAATGTAATGTAATGTATGTAATGTATGTAATGTATGTAATGTATGTATTGTATGTATGGTATGTATGGTATGTATGGTATGTGTGGTATGTATGTAATGTAATGTAATCCAATCTAGTCTAATCTAATCTAATCTAATCTAATCTAATGTATGTATCTATCTATCTGTCTATCTATCTATCTATCTATTTATCCATCTATCTATCTATCTATCTATCTATCTATCTATGGATCTATATATCTATGTATCAATGTAGCAATGTATCAATGTATGTATATATATATATAAATAGGCATCAATGTGTATATATATATATATACATGAATAAATGTGTGCGTAATATATATATATATAAGTGTAATTATTATACACATATAAGTACAAATATATATATATGTGTATCTGTATGTGTAATATTACGTAATTATCAGTTATCCTCACTAGACCCCAAATACTCTCAAACAGTTCCAGCTCCAGGTTCAACGCCATGATCCCAAGCTAGTTCAAATTGTCCTATTCATCACTTCAGAATAGCTTCGAACTTTTCACTAGGTTTTGTTTTGCCCGCATTCCAAGTTCAATCCAAGCTGTCTAACTCCAAGCATTGGATGTTTCCAAACTCAGAATAGAGTTATAGGGCCATTTATATATATATATATATTTATTATTATCATTATTACTATTATTAGCATTATTATTATTATCATTATTATTATTGTTATTATATGTATTAGTTATCACTGCCTACATAACCCATGGGATTATACACAACCCATGGTTTTTCTTCACCACTTAGAGTTACGCACAATGGCCACAATGGCTGCTGGCCATTTCCGGCGTGCTGCCCCATCTCCTTGGACAACTCCTCCAGTGATCCACGGAGGCCATAGATGAAGACCAGAACGCCCAGGATGGCAATGATCGCGTTAAGCGCGAGGCCTTGGCGACAGGGAGATCTGTTTGAAATCCGGGTCAAAAACCAAGGGACCAAAATAAACTATTCGGCAATGCCTTGTATATATATATATATATATATATATAAATAACTGTATATATATTATCATATATATATATAGAGTTATATGTACATTCAGGTTTGGGAGAACCAAGTATGAAATGGGTATTGAATCTACTCCGCGTATATACTGTATATGTTCGGCTCATATATATATATATATATTACAATGTATATGTATGTAATGTATGGGATCGTCCAAAAAGGGGGAATGTTCATCAAGAATGATCTGTGATGCAAATAAGCGACAATGATATTTAGTTGGAGATGGGAAACGGGACGGGATTCCATGTATCAACATGTATCTGGGTTTGTTCAAACATGAAGCATACACCAAAATTGCCATCACATGACGGGAAAGATTAGGCGTTAAACAAAGTGATGAAATGCGGGTACACTATCTTTGGACCCACTCCAACAACAAGCACGAAAAAGGACCACAACATGAGAAAAGAACATTATTGAAGTGGAAACATGGGAAAAAAACGAAGCCACGAACATGCAGAGAATCAAATGAGAGATATGGAGGTTTCCTAAAATGGGAGTACCCCAAAGTCATCCATCTTAATGGGACTTCCCATTAACCATCCAGCTATTAGGGATCCCCCATTTATGGAAACCACCATATGAAATCTAGCCATTCAAAAATCAGAAAACATCAACACATGTCGCCTGAGATACTCATGGCAGGCACGGGGTGTTGAGCTCTCCTTCGCAACTTGTGGTAGAAGAGGATGGGGAACCAGATGTTGTTGCAAACCTGGGACTAAACGCAAACTTCAAACGCTGAAACTTCACTGAGTTCAGTGGTAGTGTTGGCTCAACTCATCTATCCTCTACTAAACACTGATAAAATAATCAACAATCAACCTAATCACATACCAAAAAAGAGATATGGAATTTCCTCGAGTTTGGCGCTAACATGGCCATTGTTGTTGGTTACTGCTGGTGAATTCAACAGAATGACGCGATATGATCCTGAAGAAAAGCAAGACACATCACTTAATCTGATCCCAAAATGAACCAGCCGCATTCATAAGCAACATCGAACTGTGTGTGACCGTCTATAAAATCTACCAGGATAAAGAACCCATATGTTTTTTTGTAAAAACCGAAACAACCCGTAGCTTCTAATACCCTGAAATCAAGAAAAGAGGGAAGTAGGTGCAGCTCTTTCTATTCCTCTTCTTCCTACTCCTTTCTCTCCTGGTTTCCTTCTCCAGCGACTGTGAGCATGAACGGATCCGAGCCAGACCGCGAGCTCCGGATGCAGTGGGTCCCTGGACCCGGACCCATGCCAGAGAGAATGCCAGATACAGAATGCCAAACAGAATGTCAGAATATATCTCAGAATGACAGAAAGAATGTCAAAATAGATGCCAGATAGAAAATCTCAGATATAATGTCAGAGTATATGCAAGAAAGAATGTCAGATATTATGTAAGAATATATATATGCCATATTATATATATACTGTATATATATATATATATTTGTATTAATATGTATACTTCCAGATGATATGTCAGACTAGTGTGTCAGGGTGGGGGCTCTCGAAGTGTCAGCTAATTCCTTTTTTCGAACAGGAAAATGACGGTGAAATCCCTTGAAACTGGCTGGTGGTATACCTACCCCCCTGAAAAATATGAGTTCGTCAGTTGGGATGATGAAATTCCCAATATATGGGGGCAAAAATATGTTCCAAAGCACCAACCAGTGTATATATATATATATATACACCCTCTGGTAATTTAACATAGCTATGGAAAATGGCCCATTTATAGATGATTTACCTATTAAAATGGTGATTTTCAATAGCTATGTTAGTCTACCAGAGGGTATATTATACCATACATGACATTCATCCCATCCTCTGTTTTTGTTCATTTCCAGTGAATCCATGTGAATCCCAGAAACGCAGAAGACCGATGAGAAGACTCCGATGACGGCGAGCAGTCCAGGCATGGCCCAACCAGCGGTGGTGAGGATCAAGACCAGTAGAAGTCGGGCCACCTGTGGGGAAACGGATGTCAATGGAGTAATCATAACTGGCTAATTATTGACAATAGTTGACATTCTGGTTGGTGGTCGACCTACCCCTCTGAAAAATATGAGTTCGTCAGTTGGGATTATTATTCCCAATATTCTAGCAATTTCTTGCCCATATTCCAGGGCCGAACATATTCCATGCCAAAATAGCTGGGAAATTTCAGGGAATTGCGAAGACCCCTTTCAGGTGAAATTTGTATTTCATACAGTTTGCCAAGTACTCCTTTTCTTCTGGCACGTACGTTGTCGACTGCACATGTTCTTCCGCAAAGAAGATCCTTACTTTCAACAATTTCTGGAAATGTCATAATTAATAATGTTGAGCTTTCCAAAAATGGATTAATAATGTTCTTATGGGAATTTGTCATCTACACTTTTCAGGATCTCAAAACCCAATTCATAAGCTTTAAGCTTATGTTCTGGCACGCTTGGCTGGCATTTCACCAGCAGCGCCATCCCCATCTTTCTTGACATCTTTGTGGCCCCGCAAAGAGCCCTGCACAACAGGATCTCGGAACACAAATCATCGACGATCCTGTTTTCTTCCGTGCAAACTAATTCCACCGATAGAGTACGATGCCACCCCTGGAGTGCGCTAATTTTCTGGAATGCGAAAATAAAACAGTATGCGTGGCCCCCTTCGACCTTCCCCATGGATCCAACACCGGTTTTTTCCATCATATACCAGAAAATTATCACATTTCACCCTGCTGAGCTTTTTTTTCTTTTTTTTTGGGGGGGTCATTTTTGGCCAAAATGGCCTGGAATGCGATAGTATGTGAAACTACAGACGTCTCACGCGAAACCGCTACCTTGCCCATATTCCAGAAAACGTGATTCCAAGCGATTTTAGCCCAAAAAAAAAACGAAAAAAAAAAAACGCAAAAAACGAAAAATCACAGAGTACGAAGATTTTATCGAGTGCGAAGATCTTGCAGAGTGCGTGGATTTTATAATGTGTGCACGTCCCTAGCTGTGGAGTGCGATGCCCTCGCTGGAGTGCGAAGAATTTGTGGAATGCGAAGAATTCCGAGTATGCGTGGCTGGTATAGAGACCACATAGGGAAATTTCGGGGCCAGAACCAAAATTCCAATCCAAAAGCCAGCCCAAACTTCCAGGGGCACACCAGTGGGTTCTATTTTTCCGAGTTCACCTTGGGTGAGGCCCCGGGGAAGAAACTTTCTAATTTTTACTCAGCCAACCTTTAAAAACGTTACCCTTGACAACCCAGTCCTTCTTCGGTAGACAAATGAAGAAACTTCCTTATCAAAGCAGCCTTCAATTCATTCAACGTCCGCAGCTGCTTTGGAACGACATAGGGGATAGAAAGCTGTGGAGGGGCATTCAGTGGATTCGCCGTGGCCCAACTGTTCCCTCCAGATTGAGCTGAAATGCCTATCAAAGTAACATACCAAAACCCAGGTCTGGAGTACGATGAAAACATGGTATGCGAAGATTTTCTGAATATGGGAATGTTGCCTCTAGAAATATATGGAAAAATAAAAATGTTCCAAACCACCAACCAGCATTAATTATGGAGTAATCCATTGGTTGTCATTCATCCAGGGTATGTCAATGGAGTATACTCCATCATGTCAACCCTGGATTAAGAAACCCGAACGGCTGTTTAATTGGGAAGGTACCAAAAAAAAGTATCAAAACATGACTATTGGGGGAATACCCCCCTAATTGTCATAAACCGTGGTTTAGCAAAATCCGGGAATATGGGAATGACACTAAATATTAAATAACCATTGAACTTTTAGGGAAGATATATGATAAACACCATGGATGATTTTTGGTGGTATATTTTTTGTTGCCATATTTTTTCAAGGCGAAGCCGTCCAGCGCCGTCCGCTGGATTTCGCAGCCCAGCCCTGCCGCACCGTGTTTGGAGGTGTGCCCTGGGTCCGACAGGCGTCGGCGCCGGTCGCTTCCAGCACGCTAAAGAGGCAGTAGAAGAAAAGGGGCGTGGTGATGGCGCCGTTCACGAAAAGACCCAGTGAAGGCACCGTTCCAAACACCTAACAGTAGGGACTTCTATGGGGATGTTTGAAAAAGCCATGGGGGATCATGATGATTTTTGTCCACCGCCTTACATTTAGTGATGTTTTGTGATCCTTTTTCCATTTGGAAGTGCAGTTCCAGCATTAAAATGCTATACATGGATATAAAATAACTTCTTAAGTGGGGTTAGAACCATGGTTATTTCCATAAAAGTAACCTCAACTGCACCCCATCTGCATGGAAGCTCCACCAGGAGAAACATCCTCTCGCTCTTTTGGGGATCATCATAGGTAGGGTGGCAAATAAACAATAAGTTACAGGATGGGGCCCCATAACTAAGTTGAGATATGGCGGTGGCTGAATTCTATGGTTTTATAGTAGATATAACTATGGATAACTATAGTTCATGGGCTTTATAAACCAACTTATAACTGAGGATAAGTATCAAACAAACAAACAAACAAGTGATAGCAATCCCCAAATAGATGGAAAAGTAAATCACCATCAAATTAGTAGGGATTTACTTTTCCATCTTTTTGGGGATGACTATAGATATATTCCGGAAAAAATAGAGATTATATGCACATGCTGATGGCAAATGATTTTTCCGAGTATTCTTCAGATGATTTTTCAACGAAACAACCAACATCTACCAACAAGATTTGCAGCTGCAGTTGAGGCAGAAAAACATGATATAACATTGTGATGCTACCCAGAAGGTTCAACAAGGAAATCGTGTGGGTGGAAAAACCAGGAACTGAGTGAGTAGAGGTTCAGTGCTCTTTTTCAAATCGGAAAAGGTTATCTGGACGTATCGGGGGTCAACAAACCATCTTGGCGTACCAAAAAAACAGCCAGGTTCAGTGTCGCTGACCATGGCTTCAAGTAGAGCTAGACCCCAACATGTATCATTACATCATTATTCACATCAAACGGAAAAAACATAGGGAAAACATCTGCCCAAATCTGGCAAAAAAAAGCCCAAATCCATGGAACATCTGCCGCGAAGTCACTGGAAAGGATTCCGAGATCTGTAAGACCAAATGTTCATTCACTTGTTCTCCATAGGCGGCATATCCCCAGGTCATGATGATTTCCTGGCGCTGATCTGATTTTTTGTAAGAATTCTGCAGTAAAAATAAAGGGACTCCATGAAGAAATCATGGAAGCCGCTGGATTAAAGGGTCCCTCGATTTCCGGGTCCTGAAATTCCCCAAAAAAAACATAGACTGGAAAACATCGGACAATGCTAACTGTTGGAAAAAACAGTGGATCTCTTGAAACAGTAGCGTAAAACATAAGCCCTTCGCGTTGTTTTTGTGGGGGAACCTCCTTCATTTTTTCGTCCCATGGTGACATGGAGACTTCAGTCCGCCCCAGAGTCCCAGAGAGCTGGCCGACCACTGGACGTGAACTGACGAAAACTTTCAGCCCCTTTCTGGGAAAAACATCGATTATGAATAAGTGTGAATTGATTATGACACTATTAATCTCATTGGTTGTAATAACCACTAGTGAATTAATGGGATTATATCATTATTTGTGTCATTCTTAGTTTAAAAATGATATTCACGATTATCAATACCTTAATAACTAGTTTCATAGTGGGATTATCAATAGTAGATAACTGTGATGTGTGTTTACAATAATTTTATATTAAACTAGCATCACTCATCACTAACTATTGATTAAATAACTACTATAACTATTATGTATTTTCTAGTGATGAAAATTGCTGATAATGAATAGTGATAGTAGTTATGTTATAATAGTTATTTCTGATAAACATAGAGTTCGTTAAAGAGCAGCTATCATTTTATAACATGATATAATTACTACAACATACTATAACATATAACTTTTTTGACTACTATAACATACTATAATTATGAAAACATACTATATCTACTATAACTACTATAACATACTATAACTATTAAATCACACTAAAGCTAGTAAAACTTATATAACAATTCCAACATACTATAACTATAATACCTTACTATAACTATTATAACATTTTATACTATTACAATTTATAACATACTAAAACTATAATAACATACTATAACTACTATAACATACTATAAGCATTATAGCATACTAAAACTATTATAACATATTATAACTATTACAACTTATAACATACTAAAACTACTATAACAATCGGGGTTGGTATTTGCGGAGGACTGTTGGGTCAAGATTTTGTAGCTGTAAAGTAGCTCTGCCCAACCCCAATCACTACATTATCCATGCACAGGCCAAAAAAAAAATCACTACAAAAAGTGCAACCCCAGCCTGGATAAAGGGTTACTACAAAAACCAAAGAATCTAACAAGAGGCCCTTCAAGATACCCTGAAAAAAACCACGTAGATGCTTGTAGTGATTTTTAAGTAGATCCAACTCAAGTCTTCAAAATCAATCCACAAAAATTACAAAGTAGTTTGTAGTGATTTTTTGGTATACACTACAAAAAAAGTGGGCGCCAGAAAACCTGGTCGTGTGTGGTCTTGTGATGATCGATGACAGTCAGTGGTTGCCATGGGGGAGGGACAAAGATTTCTTGAAGTGGATTTTGTAGCGTTGGAACGCTGCAACTTGATTTTGTAGTGGACCTCTTTGGGCTTTGGGTATGCAGCGGCCAGTGTAATTGAAGGGTATGTTTGTGCGGTATTGGTTGGCTTTGCAATGAAAAGCAGAGTGACAGATTGGGAGCATCAATCGAAATGGATTGTCCAATCCTGGGTTTGTGTGTGTTGTGCATGTTTTTCTCAGTTGTTGGGTCGAATAAGACATGGCAGCGCAAATTCAGCAGTGATTTCACTTGAGCACTGCGAAAATGTCTTTTCTACAAACTGCAACGGCCCGCTTTTATTTAAATTGAAAACTACTCAGGGGAAATATTAGTATTGAACGTGGAACCCTACAAATTTACTACAAAGTACTTTTAGGGCAATCCTGAGTGAATTCAGATATCCATTTTGGGTCGACTATTATCTCACATACTTAACCACTACAAACTTCTATGACCAGCCAATGTTTGAATCTAGAAACATATGTGACCTAGGGTTACTACAAAATGCAAGGACACATGGTCCTAGGGGGACTGTAAAAACCATTGAAAATATTTGAAAATACTGTTTTACATACGACCCAAGTCCACTACTTTTGTAGAGGAAATTCCAACCAGGATCTATAACATACTATAACTATTATAGCATGGTAGCACGGATTTACACAACCGTGTGTTTTTGACATCAAAATGTCAAAACGCCTCACGTTTTGTCATTTTTCAAATCAGCAAATTCGTCAAGAGACGACGAAAAGTTTGCAGAAGTTTTTTTTCATCTCGCATCTGCTCCCTATGTCTCACTTGGACATGTTGTGGCGATAGATCCATTGATAGATTCTATCCCAGAATCTAGCATTGATTGTTGGGCCAGCACCGTTCTTCAGTTGACTGGGGCAAAGTTTTTTGAGATGTTGCCAACAACGATCAATTTGTTGGGTTCCTGAAACTTTCTTTCTTCCCCGCACTCGCACCTTCCGAGTCCATTCACTACGTATTTGGACCACGGACTTCACCACCATGCTTTTGGTAACATTCCATCAACGTAGCATCAACTAGTTCCGCAAGCGTACATGGACGCTATTATCCCACCCCACCCGTGCCAACAACGTAGCACAGCGTAGAGCTGCCAGTGTGCAAGAACATTCCATCAACGTAGCATCAACTAGTTCCGCAAGCGTACATGGACGCTATTATCCCACCCCACCCCACCTCCCCCCACCCCCCCAATCATATACTTCCCACGCGCGGTGACCACGAAAATCGCAACGCCTACACGGTTGTAGAAATATATACGTGTCACCTATACCATACTATAATTATTATAGCATAATTGAACTATTATAACATATTATAACTATTGCAACTTATAGCATACTAAAACTATAATAACATACTATAACTACTATAACTACTATAACTACTATAACTACTATAACATACTATAAGCATTATAACATAATAAAACTATTATAACATATTACAACTATTACAGTTTATAACATACTAAACTATAATAACATACTATAACTATTGTAACATACTATAATTACTATAGCATACTATAACTGTTATAGCATAACTATGACGTTCTGCTGAGCTTCATAG